CTTTCCCTCCCACTGTCCCAGGACTGTTGCTGTGGCAATCCGCAGGGTGACAGTGACTGTCCATTGTGTGACACCACCCTATGGCTGTGGTCACCCCGAGGTCACCCAGTGCCACACCACAATCACCCCACAGTCTCTGTGTCCCTGGCCCTGTGACCCTATCCCCATCCTTTGGTCCCTGTGTCCCCATGTCCCCATGTCCCTCTGTCCATGTCCCCATGTCCCTGTGTCCCCATCCCTGTGCCACCATCCCTGTTTCCCCATGTCTCCCCTGTTCCCATGTCTCTGTGTGCCAAATCCCATGTCCCCGACCCTGTGTCCCCATCCCATATCCCCGTCCTTGTGTCCCATCCCCCCATGGCCCCGTCCCTGTGGCCCCGTGTCTCCCATGGCCTCGTGTCCCCATCCCTGTGTGCCCACCCCTATGTCCCCGTCTGTATGTCTCCATGTCCCTATGTCCCCATCCCCATGTCCCCAGCCCTGTGCCCCTGTCCCTGTGTACCTGTGCCCCCATGTCCCCGTGCCCCATGTCCCCACCCCTGTGTCCCCAGGTTCCCATGTTCCCGTGTCCCTATGTCCCTGTTCCTGTGTCCCTGTCCCCACACCTAGGGATGCCTGTTCTGTGTTGAGGAGAGAGCTGCCCTTGCAAGCCCCCCATGGCCTCTTTAGGTTGGGGGCCAGGACAAGACACAAGGACTCGCAGCCCCTCTCCTGGCTTCTCCCGCTCCCCTCCCCTCCTCTCAGCTCAGGGGCCTGAGCCGACCTCCCAACGCTGACCCACCACACTCCCCTTCCAAACTCTCCAGGCAGCTCCTCCATGCCTGGGGTGGTACCGGGAAGGCCCATGGAGGTGCGTTCTGATTCCCTCCGACACTGTCCTGCCACACCTGGTGGCCCTGAGCATGCAGGTGTGTCTGAGGGTCCAGAAGCCCTTCCCCCAGCTGCCTGAGGTCGCTGACTTTGGGAATAAGGCTGGGGCCTGATTCCGCCTCCACAGCCCACAGATCTGGGGAGCCAGACCCTCGTCACAACCTATTCTGCCCCTTTCAGACCTCAAAGCTGGCAGGCTCAGAGGATGGGGGTGGGAGAGCGGGAGGACCCTACGTAGGTCCCAGGGCTCTCAGCTCTGGCCCATGTGGCACCTCCACTTGCGGCCACGTCACGGGTGTGTGTGAACTGACACCCTTTTACCATGTTCATGTTCATTGGATTCAAGAACATCCGCACCATCGTTATTATCTAGTTCTAAAACGACTTCATCTTCCATCACAGAAGCTCTTCACTCATTGAGCTGCAATTCCCAATTCCCCTCCCCCAGCCCCTACTGTCCTCTCTGTCTCTATGAGTTTGCCTACTCTAGGTACCTCATATGAGTGGAATCCCACAGAACTTGTCTGTGTCTGGCTGGTTTCACCGAGCCTAAGGTCTTCAGGGTCCGTTCGTGTCGTGGTGCATGTCAGGACGTCCTCCCTTTTTAAAGGCAGATAACACCCCGTTGCACGGGTGGACCACACCATGCATGTCCATTCCCCCATCAGTGGACACGTGGGGCGTTTCCCCCTTTTGGCTATTGTTAACAGTGCTGCTGTGAGCCTGGGTGTATGGACACCTCTTCAAGACCCTGCTTTCAATTTTTGGCAAGTATATACGCAGAAGTGGGACTGCAGGACCATATGGTAATTCTGTTTCCTTTTTTGAGAAACTGCCGAACTGTTTTTCCACAGTGGCTGCACCATTTTGCATTCCAGCCAGCAGTGCACAGAGGTTCCAGCGTCTCCACAGCCTCATCGAGCCCTTGTTTCCCGTTTAAGAGCAGCCATTGCCATGAGGGTGAGGCGGTCCCTCGTGATTTTGATCTGCATTTTCCTGATGATCAGCGATATTGGGCAGCTTTTCATGTGCTTATGGAACATTTATCAGTCTTCTTTGGAAAAATATCTGCTCAGGCCCTGGCCAAGGGCTGTCCCCAGGCAGGTCCCGGTGCCCTCAGCTCCGACCTGCGTAGCACCTTGCAGTCGCATGTCCACGTTCATGTGTGTGGGTGCTACGTTACACATAATACATAAGGTTCCCTTGTGGCACTGTGAAACGTGTTTTCATTCTTTGTTTATGCATTGCTGAGTTTTAGGAGGGTTTTTAGTTGCAGAATTTGGGTTTTTTTGTTTTCGATGTGTTTCAAAAGGTTTTGTTTGCTTTCGTTACTGAGTTTTAGAACTTTTAAAAAATATATTCTGGTATGTATGACCGAAACATCATGCTGTCCACCAGATATTGACACAGCATTGTAAACTGCCTGTACATCAATAAAGAGGAATGCTCTACATATACACATATGTATATATTCTGATGGTTTAAACTCGCACAGGTACGTAGTTTGCAGGTATTTTCTCCCCTTCCAAGGGTTGCCTTTTCACGCTTGTTAGTGTCCTTGGGTGCACAAAAATTTTCATTCTGATGAAATCAACTTGTCTGTGTCTTCCACTGCTTGTGCTTTGGCGTTTTATCTAAGAATCCATTGTCATTTCCAAGCTCATGAAGCTTAACCTGTATGCTTTGTTTATAGGGCTTTCATGCTTTTAGCTCTAACGTTTAGGTCACTGATCCATTTTGAGTTAACTTTTTGTATGTGGTGCGAAGTAGGGGTCTAACTTCATCCTTTGCACGTGGAAATCCAGTTTTCCCAACATCATTTGTTGAAAACGAATTATTTCCTCCATGGAATAGACTTACTACCCTTGCGAAAACCAACTGGCCGCAGATATACGAGTTTATTTCTAGACCCTTACTTGGGTCCCGTTTTGAATACTGTGCCTTTGTAGGATGTTTTAAAATTGGGAAATGTGTGTCTTCCAACCTTGTTCTTATTCAAGATTATTTTAGCGATTCAGTCCCCGCCCCTTGCAGTGATTCCATGTGAAATTGGGGATTGACTTTTCAACTTCTGCAAAAAAAAAACTGCTGGAATTTTGACAGGGATTGCACTGAACTTGCAGGTGACTTTGGGCAGTACTGACCTCCTAAAGTCAAGTCTTCCCACTCCTCATTTGTGTCTCCTTTCTTTCAGCAACACCTCCCTGGTTGAATTTATTTCTGGTCATTTTATTCTTTTAGATGCTATTTTAAATGGAATTGCTTTCTTGACTTCCTTTTGGATTGGTCATTGCAAGTGCATAGGAACAGGACTGATTCTGCTGGTTGATCCAGTACCTTGCCACTTTCCTGAATTTATTAGCCCTGGTAGCTTTCTTGTAGATTCTTTTGCACACAGCTTCTAGATATTTTTCCTCTGGGTTACCATGGAGATTACATTTAGCACTGTAAATTTATAATGATCTACTTCAATGGACAACTTCCGTCAGTAACATACATAAACTATGCTTCTAAACAGCTCCATCCTTTCCTCTTTGTGTTACTGCCATCGCATATTACGTGTTTGTACATTACATGCACAATGACATACATTTGTAATTATTTTTATGCATTTGTCTTTGAAGTCCGGTGGTAAATATAAAGTTGAGTCACAACCAAAAATACAATACTAATGCTTCCACTTACCCATGGATTTGCCTTTAACAGAGATCTTAATGTCTCCCCATGTCTTCGAGGTGCTGTCTCAGGTCCTATTATTTCAGTCTGAAGGACTCCGTTCAGCATTTCTGGCTGGGCAGAGCTGGTGGCAACAAACTCTCACTTTTTGTTTATCTGGGAATGCCTCAAATTCTGCCATATTTTTGAAGGTCATTTTGGCCAGATATAGAATTCTTTGCTGACAACTTTTCCCCCTATCAGTTTATGTATGTCGTTCCATTGTCTTCTGGCTTCTATCGTTTTTTGGTGAGAAATTATGTTATCTTACTGAAGACTGCTTGTACATAACAAGTAATTTCTCTTGTGCTATTTTCAAGATTCTGTCTGTCTTTCAACAATTTGATTATTTAAGCGTCTTGGTGTGGGTCTCTTTGAGTTGATCCTACTTGGAGATCATTGAGCTTCTTGGATTTATAGGTTCATACCTTTCATTAAATTGGAGAAGTTTTAAAGAATATTTTTTCAAATGTTCTTTTTGCCCTCTTCTGTCTTCTCTGAGACTACTATAATGCACACGTGAGACCTGCTTAGGATAGGATCCCAGAGGTCCCCTGGTCTCTGTGCACTGTTCCCCACTCTTTCTTTCTGCTCTTCACATTAGTTTCAATAGTCCTGCCTCCACCTTTGCTCATTCTTTCTTCTGGCTGCTCAAATCTGCTACTGAGCCCCCTAATGAAGTTTTCATTTTAGTTACTGTACTTTTCAGTATGAGACTTTGTTTCCTTTTAATAATTCCTCCTTATTGATACTCTCATTTTGTTCATATGTTATTTTTTATGACTGCCTTTGCTTCCATGTGCATGTTTTCTTTGCGCTCTTGTTAGCATTGTAAAGAAAGTTCTCTTAATGTCTTTTTGTAATAATTCTGATATCTGCAGTTCTTCAGGGATGGTGGCTATCAACATTTTGTTCCTTTGAGTGGACCGTACTTTCTTGTTTTTTAAATTTTCCCAGTGATTCTGTTGTTGCTGCTGTTGAAATATGGTTTTGATGGTTCTGATTTTTTTAATGTTTATGCGGGAATGAAAGCTTGGAGCTGCCTACTCTGCCTTGTGGATGACAACCTACCCTCTTCTTTGGCTTTGCTGGTCTTTCCATTATACCTAAGTTCCGTATTGCATTAACTTTTATTCCATCATTAGCTACACCCCTTTCCTGTCTGGTTTTGTGGTAAGCTGGATAAGATGCCACTACCTATTCCAAAACTAAATATGCAACCTGACATGACAAAAGGAAAGCTGTGGGTGGAATTAACTTAAGGACTGAAGATAGCAAGATTGTCCTGGATGGAAATATGACTATCAGAGGACTAGAGTTGGAGATGTGACAGCAAAACAACTTCAGTCTCTCAATCTATACCCAGACATTTCACAATGACGGAGATCTGCTTACCAACATGGGAAATATCACAGTTAGAGCAAATGTACTTTTATCCCGACTGAAAGTCCATCTGTCGGGCTGGCCTGGGAGCAGGTGACTTGCCCGCCCAGCCCCTCCCAGCCCGAGCAGGGCAGTGGGAGGATCCCTGAGTCCAACGTGTAAACACCACAGCCAGCCAGGAGCCCATATCCCCAGGTCACAGATGCCCCCAGACCCTCAGGTCAGGGCGTGTCCACAGGCTCTGAGACCCCAGGCTGAGCTGCACCCGGCTGTCCCCTCAGCTCCGGCCTCTGATCACACCCTGGGCTCCAGGGAGCCAGAGTAGCCCCGGGTGACAGAGGCCCCAGGACACCCACGAAGCCCTTGCACGGCCAGCAGGAGGACAGTCGGGCCTCAGGAATGCAGTCAGAATTCGATTTTCTCAGGAGAAGGAAGAAGGCTCCCGGGTGGGCAGGGCCTCCCCGAATCACAGCGCTCATTTGCTCCTGTCTGTTCCTGACGGTGTCCTGACGAGAACCAGGCGAGGAGCCGGGCCCAGCGGCCGCCCCGAGCACCTACGGGGCCCCAACACGTGCCGGCCCTGTCGCCCACGGGGCCGCTGCCATCAATCCGGCCTGGAGCACGTCCAGCCAGCTGGGTGGACGTGGCACAGCCAAGGTCAGGGTCAGGGTCCTGATGACGGGAAGTGTAGGCCCGTGGGCAGCGCCCACTCGGGAGTCGTCCCGCCCTAGGCGGGGGCCCAGATGGGCAGGGGGTGAGCCTCAGTGTTGAACACGTAGGTGTCCAGGCTGAGCAGGTTTGGGTCGTCAGAGAAGAGCAGGTACAGGTACTTGAGCGTCTCCCCCAGAAAGAAGCTCTCCATCTTGTCCCTGGGCTGGGGATTGCTGGGGTCCTGCACGTTGCTGATGGAGGAGTAGCCGCCCGAGGGGACCTGCACGAGAGCCCAGGCCTCAGCGTCAGGACTGCGGGCTCGGCCCTCTCGAGGGCGGCCAGCCAGAGGCACCCTCTGAAGGCCCCTTCCCACCGCAGCACACACAGTCCCCCAGGGCAGGGACTAGAATGGGGAGATCACCGGGGCCCACAGGGGGACCTGCCGCCCTGGCAGTCAGCCAGCATTCCTCTGGATGCCCCTGGGGGATGCCAGCAGCCCTCAAGTGACCAGATGGAAAGGGCCTTGGAGGTCTTGCAAAGGCCCTGAGGTCACGTGATGGGAGTAAACTACACGGCCTCACATGCCACAGGGTAAGGGTCAAGTGACCTCTGAGCCGTGGCCCCGCCTGTGAGACGGGTGGCCGAGCCTGAGCACAGTGCGGGTGGCGCCATGGTCATGGCAGCCGTCCTGGGGAGCAACAGCCCAGAGGTCACCCCAGGTGCAAACGTGCTGTCCAGGCCACTCAGAGGACCCAGGAGGGACACGCAACGTGCACCTCAGGCCACTGCAGGGACCCTCGCCACACATGCTGGCCCCCTGCCCCTGGGTCAT